GTCGTGGTGGTGCACACCTTTAATCCCAGCACTTGGGAGGCAGAGGCAGGTGGATATCTGTGAGTTCAAGGCCAGCCTGGTCTGCATAGCTGGTTCCAGGCCAGCTAGGGCTACAGGGAGACCCTGTCTCAAAATGACCAAGATAAATAAACGAATAAATAAAAAGAAAAGAAAAAGTCTTTAAAAAAATTTAAGGGGCTGGAGATATGGTTCAGTGGTTAAGAGTACATGCTGCTCTTACAGAGGACCTGGGTTCAATTCCCAGCACCCACACAGCAACTAACAACTGTCTGTAGCTCCAGTTCCAAAGGAATCTGATGCTGTCTTCTGACCTCTGTGGGCATTGCACAACACAGGTGCACTTACATACATGCAGGCAATACACTCATACACATAAAAATAGTAAATAAAATATTTTTTTCCACCAGGTGTGGTGACGCATGCCTTAAATCCCAGCATTCGGGGAGGCAGAGGCAGGCGGATCTCTGTGAGTTTAAGGCCAGCCTGGGCTACATAGTGAGTTCCAGGACAGCTGGGGCTACAGGGAGACCCTGTCTCAAAAAGACCAAAAATTTTTTTTTCCAAAAATTAAAAAAATGTTTAAAAATATTTTTATTTTTGTGTGTACACATATGTGTATGCACGTGTGTATGGGTACTTTCGCTCATGTGCTTGTGGAGGCTGGAAGAGGGCATTGGAATTGGATCCCTCGGAGCCAGAGTTGCAGGGGTTTGCAGGATACCTCACTTGTTATGTGGGTTTTGGAATCCAAACTACAGTCCTTATGATTGAGCAGCAAATGCTCTTAACTGCTGATCCATCTCTCCAGCACCTCCCATAAATTTCTACCAAGCAAATTCTACCTTTATATCTGTAGAATTGGTGGAGGCAGCACTTAGTATCTCAGTTCCCACAAGTGTGTCCACCAGAACACATCACAGAGTGCTCAGAGTAGCTTTATTCATCTTTCCTAAAAATAGACCAAATGTCTATCAACAGAATTGGTAAATAAAATTGCTGTTACTCATAGAACGGATTATGACCGTAGTGAAAAAGAATCATTTGTTATGCACAAGCATAGGACTATACCTCACAGATATAATGGTGAGTGAATGAAGACATAATCATTGAGATCATTGAGTAAAGGAAGCCTGTAGGAGGGAGGTCTCAGGAGAAAGGGTCCACTTAGATGAGTACAGATCTTATTGAGGACAGCAGTAGACAGCTTTACGTCTCCTCTCCTAGTATGTGTGCTCTAAGTAACCCTCCCCTTTTGAGTGTGGGCTGTATATAGGGATTATCTCTTCTTCCTTTTCTTCTTCTTTTTTTGGAAACAAGGTGTTACTAAGTATTCCACCATGGCTTCAAACTTGCGATCCTCTTGCCTCAGTATCCCCAGTCCTGGGATTACAGGCATATACCACCATACCTGGTGAAAAAAACTTTCTAAGAAACAGAATGTGGGGTTCGGACCTCCATCGGGGTAGCGGCTCAGAGCTCAGCAGACTGCCAGAGAGTGCTAGGTTCTGGCCTCCCTCTGGCCTCCAACTACCAGAGGGCCTGAGAACCCAGGGGACTGCCTGACAGCCCTGGGATCCTGCCTCCACGTGGTGGTCCTTTTAATAAGATGATGCTATACAGCAGTCCGTTCTGCATGAAATAACTATCATCATCACGACTTCGGCTGAGCCTGATTGCTAAACATAGTCAAAATTGGGCTTGTTGACGGTTGTGCTCATTCATTAAAGGAGTGCCAAGCAGGGTCACTGGACCCTCACCTGAGTATCCAGCCACTCTTCCCAGCCAACTAATCCAGCCTTGGAAGACAAAAGAAAAATGAGGAGGAACCCAATAGAGAGATGCTTTTGGAAGCCCTTGTCAAGAAACTCCAAAGGGTTCTCACATGAACATTTGAAAATTGCCCTGTTCTGACTTTTTCTAGTTCCCTGTCTAGAACTTGTAATGCTAATTACTCTTGCCTTTACTTCTCCTTCACATTGCCTATTCATGATTCAAGGACTTTCTTTTCCCCTTAGAGACAAGAGTCAAGCAATTTGGGAGTCTTTTAGATAGACCCACAGAAGGGGTCCAATTGCCTCACCTTGTGTTCCTGTTCATCATGGAAGAAGCCAGAGCAGTCTGCGTCCCTAATCCCTATTGGCAATTTGGGTAACCCCTTCAGAGGATGGTGTGGTAAGAATAGGAGGTAGGAATTGGCTGGGCAGTTAGGGTAAAAAGATCCCTAAGAATGTAGCCAGTTTCTTGGCTAAAAGTCAAAATGTCCATGGGCCTGTTAGCAACATACTCTGTTCCAAAGGCCAACAATGTCAAAAGTATTTGGGAGCATGTATCTAATCCTTAAAATACTTTAGGGTTACCTCTTCAGAGGGGGCAGTGTTGGAGGGGAGGGAGTGGGCATGGATTTGATCAAAACATCTTATATGCATGTATGAAATTCTCAATAAAGTTTTTGTAAAAGTTAAAAAAAAAGAAATAGAATGTGACTACGTGATGGGATTTCATTTCTGAGATTACATTACCAAAGAAATAAAAAAATAAAAAAATAAAAGGCTCTGGGATTGGGAAGATGGTTCAGTTGGTAAGAATGCTTGCTGTCCAAACATGAGGACTTCAGTTCAGATCCCCAACACCCATGTTTAGCCAGGTGTGGCTATGCACACCTATAATCCTTGGGGGTGGGAGCAGGCAGAGACAGATGGATCTTCAGAACTTGGCCAACCAGCCTAGCTGAGAAAACCACGGGTTCCAGGTTTAGAGAAAGAACCTGTCTTAAGGGAAAAAGTCAGAGAGCATAAAGGAGGGCACTTCCATGACCTCCTCTGGTTTCCATGCATGGTACATGTACCCTGCATACTTGCACGCCCACGCGCGCGCACACACACACACACAAATTAATAAATAAAAAAATTTTAAAAAAGACTCTGACTTCCCTGTCCCATCTGTGCTGGAGACTTAACCCAGGGCCTCACAGATGCTAGGGAAATGCTCCTCCATTGAGCTGCAGCTCCTTTCTTCTCTCTAACCCTTTGCTCAGGTGAGGCCAGTTGCTTTTTCTACAGGAGCAAAGTGGAACTGATATTTCTAACCAACAGCTTGAGAGGGCCTGTGGCCTGCCTACTGCCATGAGTGACTTTGGAAAAGGACTTTCATGGGTTGAGATAACTCCAAGGCTGACTAACATCTTTATTATACCCAAGGCAGAGGAGAAAGAGGAAAGAGAGAGGGAAAAGTAGAGATCCTCCCTGAGCTGGAGGATCAAGATGAATTGGTCTTAGGTTTCTGACCCTGAGAAAAAAAGTTTACTGCTTGCCTAAAGCTGCAAATTTTGACGTGATTTGTTATCCAACACTGTCTATATTGTCCTTAATATTAAAGGACATTGTTTATTAATCAAAATCACTATATAAGGCCCCCGAGAACCCAAAAACTGCACTTTCCCCAGCAATTTCCCCAAACAGCTTGTTTCTTCATAGACACAAACTCAACATGTGTTTTCCTTTGAGTTTTGGGCACCAGGGAGCTCAGAATAGTTATGGCTCTATTTTAACAATTGTACAAGGCCCTATGGCTGCTCATCGTGTGTTCTTGCTCCTCAGTCTTTAATTTTATTCTGATGTCTTTTTGCTGCGTCATTTTAAAAAATTAATTTTTATACTTTTCTATATGAACTATGTTAAAGCATATCAAATCCAAGTTATAGAGTATTCATGAATCATTTTAAAAATAGTCTTTTCCTAAGTTTTAATCCCAGCACTTGGGAGGCAGAGACAGGCGGATCTCAGTGAGTTCGAGGCTAGCCTGGTCTACTTAGTGAGTTCCAGGAGAGCTGAGGCTACAGGGAGACCCTGTCTCAAATAGACCAAAAAAAAAAAAAGTTTTTCACATGTTGAACACAAGATGCCTGGAGGTGGTGCTTAGGGAAGATCATGTCATGCAAACGTGGCTCTAGAGCTCTGGACATTGGACGGGGATAATTTGATTGGATAAGAATTATCAAATGATAACGACGAAAAAAAAATATGGCAACTGATTGCATTTTCCGGGATTTCCCAGTCAAGCATAGCGGTTGTCTTTGCAAATCTACCCTTTGCAAAAGACCCCTGACACCCTCCCGCGCCACCTCGCCCCTCCCCTCCCTTCTCCCACGGCCCCGCCCTTCTCATTTTCTGGCCACGCCCCTGCCCCATCCCTCCCATCCAGCACCCTTCCCTCTGCGCCCGCCCTCCCAGCCCACCCTGCCCCGCCTCTCCTATGACCACGCCTTCCCACCTTATGACTCCACCCCCTCTTCAGCCCCGCCCTCCGCATCGCTACTCCGCCCCCGCGGGTTGCGCTCTCCTCCTGCTTCACGTCCGTGAGCGCCTTCGGTCCCGCCCCTCCTTTCTAGGCCCCGCCCCTCCCTCAGCCACGCCCTCCGCATGCGCCGTGCCTCCTCCCGGGCAGTTGCATGCTCCTCCTCTTCCCTCCACACTCCTGATGTCCTTCCTCGCTCTGCCCGCCTCTGACCACGCCCCCCATAGGGCCCGCCCCCCCATTGACCCCGCCCTCCGCATGCGTCGCACCGCCTATCCAGCGGCTCCTTTCTAGGCCCCGCCCCTCCCTCAGCCACGCCCTCCGCATGCGCCGTGCCTCCTCCCGGGCAGTTGCATGCTCCTCCTCTTCCCTCCACACTCCTGATGTCCTTCCTCGCTCTGCCCGCCTCTGACCACGCCCCCCATAGGGCCCGCCCCCCCATTGACCCCGCCCTCCGCATGCGTCGCACCGCCTATCCAGCGGTTGCGTG